TTTTATTTACAGGAACTGCGGCCTGTATGTTAAAAGGACTCAAGGATCAAAAGCAATACAAGCTATCCAAAATTTGATACAATCGAGTGGGATTTCAAGCTTTCTGAAATGTAAGCACATACAATTGTATGAATGTGCATGTTCATTTTTAGTGTACACAATCTTCTTCTCTATCTAATATTTGCTGTATGTTTATACATACGCTGGAAGCAGATAAATAGATGCACATGTCTTTTTACGATGAATCCATACCTATGGCTATCATCAGCCTTATCTGACAACAACAAACTGAGAATTTAAAAATTATATATTGATGATAAAAGACACGGTTAAAAACTAATTTTAATTAAAAACTTCTAACTGCAGGAGTCTGTTAATCGGTCATGATTTGTTTAAAAATAGATTTATCTAACTTGCAATCCCACTCATCTAGTACTATATAGATCTTTGCATGAAAATCAATACTTCAACTTTACACTTAAAATATTTTGCAGCAACATAAACTGCCTCAGATACAGCTATTATTTCCCAAGCCATTGTATCCCACCCACCAGTACTACAGTACTGGATGATTCAAACCATAATCTACTATGATACAGACTATGAGCTCCCCCTAGTTGTCAACACATGTCACTTAAAGCCAGAGGGCACAATTGAGACTTGCAATTCAACTAAAAGCCAGCAAAGTTTATTTTGGAAAGTATTTTATATCAACAAACAATCCACAGCGCAAAGCAATCTAGATAGGAAATGTGAAAGGGAAATAAATGCCTTGTACAAAGCATTTTTAAACAAAAAGATTATGCTAAAAGCAAACTCAGTTCTGATAAAAACAACAGAATAGGTGTCAATGGAAGTCAGTCACTGATATCTATAATTTGTACTATTTTACCTAGCACACACTCATCTAAGTCATAATTATTGTCAAATATGCCACTAGACATCCCTTTGTTCAACATAGCAAGATACATTTTGCACTAGACAAGGATTCAACAAACCATTACTATTAAACACAGCCACATAGGAAAATCTTAGACTTGTTTGCTAAATGTTTAAATAAGCTTGACAAAATATTCTCTGTATTTGTCTACCAATGAAACAACGTGAAACGCTTTCTTATCCATCGTACAGCTATTTAAATCACTAAGCAAATCAAGCAAAAACTAGGAAGCAATACAGATTCATAATACACAGCCACAACGTGTTGGCTTTTTAAAATATGCTATTTTTTAAAGCCAGGAAGGTTATGAAAATGAGCTGTTTTTATCTCATGAGTAAATTACAAATAAATGTAAATAAAATGCATCCCAGAGAGTGATAAAGAACACATCTTTTGTATTGCCTTACTTAAAGCTGTCATGTAACATGTCTTTAAAAAACACATTATGCTTTTGTATGCATAGCTATGCGTGTATTAAGAAAAATCATTTCCTAGCTAATTCTTTAGTAATATCTTACATTCTCAATGTGTAACACTAGGTGAAATTGTTTTCTTTGAAGGCAAAAAGCGCATTAATTGCAGCAAATCTAAATGCATTTTAAGTGGAGTTCTTTGCACTTAGAAGCAATTTGCAAAACTTTTATGTACTAGAAATGTTATTAGTTTTTTCTTTTACTTAAATTACTTTGTACATATACGAATTAATAGGGTAAATTATTAATCTTCTTAGGGAACCTGTTGACCAGTTATGAAAGAAATCTCGCTGGGGAACTCTAGTTCTCTATCTCGAATTTTATCATTTTACTGTGCTTTTTTCCTCCATATTTTCTACTGTTTTATTAATTTTGCTTATTTTGCCTTATTCTGCAAAACTGGTAGAAGCAGGCTTTTTACATGGATTCTCTTTCACATTTCCTCCAAAAAATAATTCTAGTTTTAAAACACATTTCTCTAGTTTAAAAAATTGTTAAATTGGAAAATAAGCAATTTTAATCAAACCAAAATAATCTTTCTTGGTATGGAGCAGTTCTACAGCATATCATCATCTCTTCTGTATAAGACCTTTTTTCACTTTGTCTATAAATTTAACTAGCTCAGGTACAAGTTTTTGTCTCCATCACTGGATAAAGGTCAAGACTTTTGTTTTAAATTTCTTTTCTCTTTTTTGCATTGCAAGTATATCTATTGCAACACTGTATGAGGAACCTAGAGTGAAGCAAATAGGCCACTCAATTTTGCAGATTATAAATAATAATAATTGTTCCAATTTTGGAACAAATATATTATATATATATTGCAGCCTGCTTGCTTGTTTCACATTCACTATCTAAATGTTTCTTTGAACACCAACCTGAAACCCAATAAATATCAGTGGAACAGAGTCAGAAAACCTTTTTTGTTTTGCACCTTGCACAGGACTCCTATCCACCCTGCAAAGCATTTCTCCAGACAGATGCCAAAAAGGCAGAGGTAAACATCAAATATATGCATCTCAGGAAACAATATCAAATTCATTCCGGGTTGTTGTTTTGGTTATTAGTTTAGGCTTTTTTCCCCCCAGCTACTCTCCAAACTCTCCTTTTCACAGGACAAACACTGGCTCTTTAATAATGAATTAAAGCCTCCTGAAAACTGGTAGGACTACTCCTGTCTGGCAAAACACCCTTCTGAAAGTCTGCAGCTTAGGCTCAGTGTATGTGTGCTAAAATGCCCGCATTTCCTGCTTTCCCCTTCTCCCCCCCAATTGATACCTTTATTTTTTTCTGCCACTATTCAGTATGCATCCTGATTTCTCCGCCAGCTTCCTCAGGATGGAGAGATAGATAAATACAAGAAGGGAGGGAGGGAAACTGCATGCAGCTTTGCCTTCCATTCCTCACAGGCTCCCCTCCAAACCCATTGTGCCCGCTGCTTCTTGGAACCCTTATTAATGATTCCCTGTCTCATTATATCCTTTCAAATAAGGCGATATGAAAACAAGATGAAATTGAAGAGCGAACCTACCTGGCTCCCCTCCCTCCCCAAAAAAAATATGTTTCTCCCTTTTAAACAAATTCAAACGTGCGCAACAAACCAGATTATCCACACAATCCACGGCCCCTTTCAAAACCAAGTATCTCCTTGCAAATGAGACGGAAAATAAGTAGTATAAATTGCAATTGATGATGCAGATGTTTTTTAAAAATCAACAATCACCCTCCCCCTACACACACGCACAAAAAAGGAAAAGGAAAATGCAATTTCCAAACCAGATTTTTTTAAAAAAATAATGCAAATAACAAAAGGATGGGAGGAGAGTCACCCTTTTTTTAAATGGGCATGCAAATCTGGTTGCAAAATAACAATGAATAAAAAACACCCCCGCCCAAAAAAAGAGTCAAATATCAGATGCATCTTCATTTTGTTGCACCAGGTGCTGGTTGGGGGGGAAAATGGGAGTAAAAAAACGAAGTAACCAGATGAGCTTAAAAAAAAAAGAAATTGAAATTTCAGAAGGCAAACGCCACCCAAGATATCTAATAAAAAAAGTATTTCCAACAAATTCTTACAAACAAAATTTATCAGCTGTAACAAAGGAGAGATCGCAACCACCAAATGCTCCTGGCAGATGGCTTCTATTCTTGGTTTTCAGGGGAGGGGAGACTCTCGTATATATTTATTTATTTATTTATTTAAATTTTTTAAAATATAACATAAATATTCGGATTTGCAGCGTTTGAGACTCAGCCCTTGGCTTGCTCCATGCGCAACACTCCTTTAAAAGCAAGTTCGGGACTTATTTTGTTGTTGTTGCTGTTTGCTTGTTATTTGGCTACATTTTTTTCCTCCACATCAGATGGTGGGATTTCGGAGAGCCATGCAAGGGAAAAACCTGCCTGCAATCTTCATTGCATAGAAGAGGTTTGATTTTTACTGCACTAAAATTGTGCATGGCGAATTAGGGAAATAAACGCTAAAAACAGGGGTGGGAGGGGAGGGAACGTGCACAGAGAAGGTGCAATTGCAGCCGCTTCTGTAGCACGCGCGCACACACACACACACACACACACGCACACACAACTGCACTGTCCCCCGGATCTTCGTAGAGATGTTACATCTTATTACCTTTTCTTTCTTTTACAATGGGCGCTTTTGCAAAGTGCAGCTCCCACTCCTGCCCTGGCGTTTTTTGGGGGGGAGGGGTTCCCAGCGTGGATCTAAGGCTCCTGCCTAGTTGCTTTATTGTGATTGTGATTATTAGCAGTATTAGTAGTATTTGCTGCAGCTGATGCCTCGTGGGGTAATTCTCCCCACCCCCTTGCAAACTGGGTCCTGGCTCGCAGCGGAACACGCCGGCCCGCTCGCTGCCATGCCTGGGTCGGTGGAGGGGCAGGAGCCCCCTCTCGTGCCTTGGCACCTGGGCAGGTCCTTCCGTAGGGGGCTAGGGGAGGGCAGCCGCCTTCCCAGCTACCTGGAACCTGACAAGCGTTCCGGGCTCCCGCTGCTCTCCCTCACCGACTTCGCCTCCCCCCGCCCGCATCCCAAGGGCTGCCCGGATCTCAGCCCCCCCAGCCGGCGATCTTCCCCCATCCCCTTGCCCGCATGGTGCCGGGGACCGTCCCGGCTTCGCCTCCTTTCCTCCCGGAGCGCGCTGGCCGAGAGGGGCTCCCCGGCGGCAGCTCCCTCTCCGTGGGTCCCCCCCTCCTCCACTCCGTCCTCCCGCCGCTCTCCTCCACTGCCCGCCTTCCCCCCCCCCCGGCTCCCCTTCCCCGCATTTCCCCCGGCCGGCTGTCACCCCGCCGCGTGTGCTCGCCAACTTTCCCCGGCTCTTCCCACTGCAGCCAGCACGCGCGCTTTGCAAACCAAAACACCGAGACCCCACCGCCAGCTCCTTCCCCGGCCCCTTCTCTGCCCCACGCCGCCTGCCGCCTCCCTCCCGCGCCGCCACAGCCTGCAAATTCACTGCAAACTTTGGTTTTCTCGAGTCCCCCCTCCTCCCATCCACACACACCCTCCCCCCTTTAATTCCCTTCTCTTCTTTCTCCCCCCCCCTTCTCTCTCTGTCTCTAAAGTGACTTACTAGACTTGGCTTTTCCTGGACTTTTCCCCCCTTTTGAGCCTTGATTTCTGATCGTTCTTGTTTCAAGTTCAAACTTACGTGTGATAATCTCTCTTTGTGACAAGTGCTGCGGGTTTCCCTGCTTGCGACGGGACATTGCCCTGGCATTTACACTGGCATCGCCCGGAGAGCTGTACTGGGTTGGGGGGGATGTGTGGGGGGGCGGATCTTCCTCCTCTTTTTTTCGTTCACTCTTTCGTCGTCTTCTTTATTGATTTCTTCTTCTTTTTAAAAAATAAAATAAAATGGAGACAAGAAACCCCCTCTTTTTTTGTTGTTCTGGTGCACCAGGTGGGATATCCCCCTGAATTAAAAAAACATCATCATCAGGAAAAGCTCTTTCTTTTTTCTCTCTCTCTCTCTCACTGTCTTTTCTCCACTGCTTCTGTCACTTGGACTTCCAAATCTCTTCTTGAACTTAGGAGGATTTGCACCAACAGTGACACTTTTTCTCTCTCTCTCCAGAGTGCTTGGCAAATTGGCAAGTGCACTTCTTCCACCAGGAGGGTAAAAAAATCAGGATTTTTTTTTAAAGTACAGAATGGGGATTGCCCACACACACAAAAATGCCCCCAAAAATATTTTTTTCAGAAATTGACCCTTGCTGGGTTTTTTTAAAGGGGTAGCCAAAACTGTGTCTCCTCTTTCCCAGTTCAAGTGGCACTGCTTTGCCCTAGTGCTTTTGGATTGCCAATGCCTCTGCACCACTTTGCACTGCTCCCCCTCGCCTGGCACTGGGACTGGAAGGAAGGAAGCCCCCAGTGCAGCTGGGTTGGTGCTGGCTATTACTATTATATATTGCAATGTGAAGATGGCGGAGTCCTGGTTCTCTGGGAGCGCTCTGTCTCTCTATGGCTGGGGCTGCCTCTGTACAATGGGATAAAATTCAAGTTCAAGTGCGGACGTGACGTTTAATCTGCACTAGAGACAAAAAGACCCAGAGAGTAGGAGCACTGGGGGCGACTAGCGGTGGCTTTTTAACATTGTACCCTGCAAGAGAACAAGAAACACACACACACACACACACACACACAAACTAAAGCACATGCATGGATCGGGAGCAGCTCCGGGCTTTGTGCATTGCCTCCTTCACCGGCACTCCGAGTGCCAGCGAAATAATAATGATCAATAATCACCATCGTGATAAATAATAATCATGCAAACTACACTTCCCCCTACCCTGTTCTAAGTGTCCTGTCCGTGCTGAGACCAGCTCTAGCGGGTCGTTCACCCCGGCCAGAGACTCACTAGGGGAGTGACTTGGGGATCTCCCTGGGGCAAAGTGCCTCGATTGGACTTAAATCGGCCAGGGGGTTATGCCAGGCAGCGTGGCACCGCCGCCCGGGCTAAGAGGGGTCAGGATCGGAGTGGACAGCCCAGGGCGACGCAGGCAGCGGGACTGAGGCGGGGGTCCTGGCAGAGTGATCGCTCCGCTCTGTTATTAATGATGGCATAGGATCTCCATGGTCCGGGCTCGACTCTGGGTCTTGCTTCGTTGTGGTCCATTTCTAGGATCACTGGCGTGAAGGGCTGGGGCGGGCTTCTCTTTCCTTCAGACGGCACCCCAGGTACTCAGCTGCAGGCACATCCCCAGTGTATTTCAAACAGTTTTGCACTAACATAAATATCTGTGTGGGCTGGGGAAAGATTTTTCTCTCCCTAATCTATGAGTGATGCTACCGGGAGACTCTTTTTGTGTCTCTCACACACGCACACCTCTTCGACCTTTGGTGGTGGTGATGGTGGTTGTTCGTGTGAAAATTCCTGACAGGGAAGATCTTTGTGTGAGTTAGTGGCACTCACCCAAGACAGGGAGAATCCAGAGGCATTTAGATCACGGCGGAACAAGACACTGCATGTACTTTTCATTCGATTTCACAGGCAGGTAAATGCCCGGCTGAGTGCGCTTCTAACTTTAAGATTCTTGGAAACAAAACTTTCCTTTCCCCGCCCTCTCCTTCTTCCCACCCCCCTGTATTTTCCCTTC